AATTATTTGAGAAAAAATATAATTTTAGAGGACGAAACTTATTGTAATAATCATGTGTACATTGTGTATGAAAATGATATAGATTCTAATTGTAATTACAATCTATATATATTTTATTCCACACGTGAATATCCTGCTACTTGTATAGGTAATTTAAAATAAGCATTGTCAAGAGAAAACTTATGAAATTTATAACCAGGTTTTTATTTAAAAATTTTTAAGAACTAGTAACTATATACTACTATCTAACTCGAGATTGTACTGATTTCACAGAAACAATTTCTCCTATTATAAATGATGAATTTTCTGAAGAAGATTTCAGTCCAAAATTAAGGAATATTAAACCACCAATATTTGCTGAACTAATAAACAAAAAAATAAATACTGATGAAGATGCTAAGTTAGTACTGAATAAATTTGATAAACAACTGATAAAAAATTAATACGAAGAAATCAAAGATTCTTTAAACTATATTTTTTTTTTATTATTAGTGATTGTAAATTTAAAGATTTTATTGATAAAATTTGAGAAATACAAGAATTAGTTATGCACCATTCTAATTTTCATTTGTAAAAACTCTCTTTCTAAGTTTCAAGATGATAAAATTAAATGAATTAGAGCCTTTCTCTAGCAAATTAATTTAATACTAGAAATTGTTTTATTTGAATTTTTGCTTATTTTTTGATTTTGTCAAATTTAAAACTTTCTACATAATAGAAATCAGTTAAAAAAAAGGATGATTAATTTTTTTTATAAAATTATAGAGATACGCATTAATATTTACATTAATATTTACATGTATTAACTTCAAAAAAAAATCAATGACAATTTATTAATGTGTTTAACAAGATGTATACAAATTTCAAGTTAAAAATTTGAAATTAAATAGTAAACTTAATTTTTTCAAAATGTTTTTTAGAATGATTAATAATTGATTGATTCATCAAATTATTTAAATTATTTTTTTAATATAACTTGAAAATTTTTTAGCTTTTAAAAATAGAAAAGGTGTTGTAAAAAATTTATTAATAAGAAAATATGTCAATTAACTATTGAAACAAAATTAGTTGACAGAGATAAAAATTTGAAATTTTGTCAAATTTATTAAGTATTTAAAATGGCACAAGTATTTATCTACAAATTGAGAATTAATTGTTGAATTGTAATGATAAATTTTGATTACATGAATAATCAATTCTTTTAATTTCATGTAACAACAATTATTCAGTAGACTGTTAAGATAAATTGTAATAAGCCTACAATGAATTACTAAATATTTAAATGATGATAAAAGAAATTCTTTAATAGAATCGAAGATTCAGAAATAATAGATTTGCTATATAGAAACTTAATAGTTAAGTGTGTTATATATAATTTTTTAATTAAATCTTTAAATATCTGATAATAAGAAGCTAGACGATAGTTATGAAGTGTAAGATAGATAATATTAGGACAGTTTTCTATTATATAAAGCATCACTTTCTGTGTCAACACTTCTAAGATTAATTCTTTTAGATATAGCATTTTAATATTTATAAAAAAACTTCTAATATATAACTTTTTTCAAATTTTTAAGTTTGAAATTATTGCGTAATCTTACAAGCCCAGAATAGTTCAAAATTACTAGATTTTCCAAATTTTTGTATTTAGCAAGTAAATTCAGTGATGATTCCGAGATGTTAATATACACAAGTTTGATAGATATTAATGTGTTAGTATAAGATGGCAATACTTTGATTATTTCTTCTACCCAGTTATCTACACTTCTGTAGCTAAATTCTTTTAATTGTTTCTGCATATTTATAATCAAAATAATAGAATCTTTAATTTTAGGGTTATTTTCAAATGCAGGGACTTGAATGATTAGATTGCCTATTTTATTACATGATTTTGATATTTTTTCCAAGAAATTTATAGAGTTTATTAACATGTGTTGAGCTGTATATTCAATTTCAAGCTTTGAAATATTTAAAAATTGCCCAATTGTAAGCCTATGTTGAAGATCCGGAGCAAAATTTAAAATCTTGTCACTATCAATTCTTAAAAATTTTAAATTTGTACTTTTAATAAATAATTTAAATAAAGACAAGATTATTTGTTCTTTAATCTGCATGATTTGTTTTTGCAACTCCTCAAAATTTCTATCAGACTAAATTACTGCAATCTAGGAATGTATAATTTTTTCTAAGTTCTTTATTGAAAATTCTTCCAGTGTTATTAGATAATCAAATAAGGGTTTTTTATGTAGAATTAATTAGTCATATAAATTTTTATTTAATAACATCTCAAGATAATTTTTCTCTGATTCTTCAAGAAATGAAACATAAACTGATGTAATCTTGTCTAAATTATCAATATATAATTTATCAAATAGGTACGCCCACAGAAATGGCACTGCATTTATACACCAGTGACGATTTACTAGTAAACAAAGGTATAGAGACTCATTGATTTTCTTGATATATTGAAATATTTCTTTCATACATTTATTAGGAAGCATAGTGTTGATGAAGAGAAATTAATATTAACGATAATATATGCTAGGCATCATCCACAATTTATAGTATTTTATTATAATTGTGTTTTAATTTCCAACTATATATATTATTGAATTAACAATAATACAGTTGATTAGTTTATTAATTTTTGTTTAAAAATAAGCTTAAATTAGACAAGATATCTAGTATATCTTTATTTGTTTTAGAATTGTTAATTTAAAAATAAGCGTAATTTAAATGTATTATTATGCAGTTGTAGAAGTAAAAAGTTTAAATATGACAGGTATAGATTTCAAATTACTGTAATAGAGACTTTAAATAGCACTCAAAGATTTTTTCTTTGGGCTTTGCTTGATAGGGCCTTATTTAGATGCGCTGCGCATTATTATATAATGCATGTGTTATTAGAAATATTTTTTTTGAAAAATTTATACCTTAAATAAATTATTTGTTTGTTTAGATCTATTACTCTTTGAGTTTATAAATTTGATGTGTTTTTATAATTAATAAT